TGAAAATGTTCAAGATGGAGACATAGATATTTTCAAAGTACATACGGATCTGAATGTCGCAGATCCTTTGACTAAACCTCTTTCGCGAGCAAAACATGATCAACACCAGAACTCTATGGGTGTTCGATACATCATAATGTAACTAGATTATTGACTCTAGTGTAAGTGGGAGACTGTTGGAAATATGCCCTAGAGGCAATAATAAAAGGATTATTATTATATTTCTTTGTTCATGATAGTTGTCTTTTATTCATGCTATAATTGTATTATCCGGAAATCATAATACACATGTGAATACTTAGACCACAACATGTCCCTAGTGAGCCTCTAGTTGACTAGCTCGTTGATCAACAGATAGTCATGGTTTCCTGACTATGGACATTGGATGTCGTTGATAACGAGATCACATCGTTGGGAGAATGATGTGATGGACAAGACCCGTTCCTAAGCATAGCACAAGATCGTGTAGTTTGTTTTGCTAGAGCTTTTCCAATGTCAAGTATATCTTCCTTAGACCATGAGATCGTGTAACTCCCGGATACCGTAAGAGTGCTTTGGGTGTACCAAACGTCACAACGTAACTGGGTGACTATAAAGGTGCACTACAGGTATCTCCGAAAGTGTCTGTTGGGTTGACACGGATCGAGACTGGGATTTGTCACTCCGTATAACGGAGAGGTAATCACTGGGCCCACTCGGTAGTGCATCATCATAATGAGCTCAAAGTGACCAAGTGTCTGGTCACGGGATCACGCATTACGGTACGAGTAAAGTGACTTGCCGGCAACGAGATTGAACGAGGTATTGGGATACCGACGATCGAATCTCGGGCAAGTAACATACCGTCTGGCAAAGGGAATAGTATACGGGGTTGCTTGAATCCTCGACATCGTGGTTCATCCGATGAGATCATCGAGGAGTATGTGGGAGCCAACATGGGTATCCAGATCCCGCTGTTGGTTATTGACCGGAGAGCCGTCTCGGTCATGTCTGCATGTCTCCCGAACCCGTAGGGTCTACACACTTAAGGTTCGGTGATGCTAGGGTTGTATGAACATGAGTATGCAGTAGACCGAATGTTGTTCAGAGTCTCGGATGAGATCCCGGACGTCACGAGGAGTTCCAGAATGGTCCGGAGGTAAAGAATTGTATATAGGAAGTCATGTTTCGGCCGTCGGGAAAGTTTCGGGGTCACCCGGTATTGTACCGGGACCACCGGAAGGGTCCCGGGGGTCCACCGGGCGGGGCCACCTATCCCTGAGGGCACCGTGGGCTGAAGTGGGAGGGGAACCAGCCCCTAGTGGGCTGGTGCGTCCCCCCTTGGGCCCCCCTACGCCTAGGGTTGGAAACCCTAGGGTGGGGGGCGCACCACTTGCCTTGGGGGGCACTCCACCCCCCCTAGCCGCCGCCCCCTTGGGAGATTCCCATCTCCAGGGCCGGCGCCCCCAGGGGGCCTATATAAAGGAGGGGGAGGGCAGCCGCAACCTGAGTCTTGGCGCCTCCCTCCCCCTGCTACACCTCTTCCTCCTCCCGTAGTTGCTTGGCGAAGCCCTGTCGGAGTCCTGCTGCATCCACCACCACGCCGTCGTGCTGTTGGATCTTCATCAACCTCTCCTTTCCCCTTGCTGGATCAAGATGGAGGAAACGTCACGCAGACCGTACGTGTGTTGAACGCGGAGGTGCCGTCCGTTCGGCGCTAGGATCTCCGGTGATAGGATCACGACGAGAACGACTCCCTCAACCCCGTTCTCTTGAACGCTTCCGCACGCGATCTACAAGGGTATGTAGATGCATCTCTCTCTCTCGTTGCTAGATGAACTCATAGATGGATCTTGGTGAACGTAGGATAATTTTATTTTATGCAACGTTCCCCAACAACTCCCCCTTCCTTCCTGGTCACCGGAAGGAAAGAGGGGGGCGCGGGAGGGCATGGGCCCTAGGGCCGGCGGCCAACCCCTTGGGGTGCGCCTTGGCTGCCCTTGCTGCCTCCCTCTCCCCTCTCACCTATATATACATGGGAGGAGGCGCCACACAAGGACACATCATTGTCTTAGCCGTGTGCGGCGCTCCCGTCCACTGTTTACTCCCTCGGTCATAGTTTCATAGTGCTTAGGCGAAGCCCTGCGGAGATTGCATCACCATCACCGTCACCATGGCGTCGTGCTACCGGAAGTCATCTACTACTTTGCCCGTCTTGCTGGATCAAGAAGGTGAGGACGTCGCCGAACTGAACGTGTGCTGAATGCGGAGGTGCCATATGTTTCGATACTTGATCAGTTGGATCGCGAAGAAGTTCGACTACATCAACTGCGTTGTCTAATGCTTCCGCTTACGGTCTACGAGGGTACGTAGACACACTCTCCCCCTCGTTGCTATGCATCTCCATGGATAGATCATTGCGTGTGCGTAGAATTTTTTTGTTTTTCCATGCAACGTTCCCCAACAAATATATCCAACAATTTCTTGATAACGAGAGAAAGGAATAGCACTTATAGTCGCTCCAATACCACACACCCGATGATAACAATGAGTACCTATTTTAACAGAAATAACAGGCACACCAACAACATCACGGAACCTTCTATGCTTAAAAATATCAGCAACTTCCTCAACAAATTGGATAACATGGCCATTGATATCACCGGTTAACAAATATTTAATCGTAGCTATTTGAGTTTGTGTTTCACTTTGATCATAAGGTTTGTAAGACTTCTGCTCACTTTTATTATCAACTGTAGCTACCAGAGAATGTTATCTAATCCTAACATGAAACAAATCTCTCTCAGTGTAAATAGAAGGTACCAGAGTATTAACAGTGTGGACTAGAATATCTTCCTTAGCTAAAACATCCTTTTGTAACAACTTCCTTTGAAGGATCATGGTACTTTTCCCAGCTTTATTTAGGAACATCAATGTGAGGAGCAAAAGATTTACACAAAGTAACAGTTATATTAGAATCGAGTCCATACTTAGCACTATAAATAGAAGTTTCAGAAAAAGACTTAATGCAGTCATATTCGTAGTTTAGACCTAACTCTTTACATTTATCGACCTCTCAATCATTGGTGTTACATGGCATCCTTTCAATGAGATCCCATTTATCGTTAGTATTCTTTTTATCGAAGTAGCCTCCAGAAGACAAATCGAGTGTTTCCTTATCATGTTGCGGAAGTCTCGCATAAAAGTTTGTAAGGATCATCTGTTTGGAAAGCCAATGAGTAGGAAATTTAAGCATCAATGATTTAAGCTTAACCGGGCTTAGCTCATACTTTCTTCGAAATGAGGCCAAAAAATTATAAAGATAATTCATGTCTTCATGTACCTATTGAGCTAGATGAAACTTGGATATAAACTCGTAACATAGAACATTCCACTACATAGCATATGGATTATCTAATACCCTAAATCATGATAAAGCATTTCCCTCCAAAGATAAAGGGAAACTTTTCTTCAATACAACATCCTCAAGCAAACCTGAAAGCTTAAAGAGACCACATAATTCAAGAGAATGGTGTAAGTGTTCCTCAGGAGGACCGATTTCGTCACCTACATAATGGTTAGCTCTCACATGTTCAAGAAATCAAACAGGAATCTTATATGTTTTTTAGAAGATGGATGTTCGCTGCCAAGCAAATCCATAATGGACTAATTTAGCAAACAAAAATAAAAATAGCAAGCACAATAATTGCTTCTCTTACCAAATACCACTTACCAAGAGCGTTACACTATCCGACAACGGCTCCAGAAAAGAGTCTTGATAACCCTCAAATTTAGATAATCTATCGTAGTCTTTTTAATGAGTAACAGTGTAGAACCCAATGAGAAGCGAAATGAATTGTTGTTGGAAACTAGCAAGAGTCTATAAAGTTGCAAAGAGTGTTCGATGGTTTGTTTGAAAGCAAGATTAATTGCAAGAAAGTAAATAGTATCAAAAGTGCAACTGTGCAGCAAGTGGCCCAATCATAAATTGTGCTAAGGATAAGCCGGTGCTTCTACTTACATGGATCAAGGCATTCTCGAGGACACATAGGAGTTTCACCATGTTCATCAATATTCATTGAGTTAACGATCATTGTTTTGACAGCTTGTTGTGCGGTGGAACCTATTATAATATGTTGTTACCCTAATTACTCCCTTCATCCCATAATGTAAGACTTTTTTGGCACTACACTAGTGTCAAAAAACGTCTTACATTATGAGACGGATGGAGTAATTTTTTAGCGGTGTTACCCTAATTAAGAGCAACTCCAACAACATCCCTAAAAATCTTCCCATAAAATTAGTTTTTTTGGCTTCCCGTAACTTTTATGGGTTGTTTGGGAGCAACTTTTGTAGTTCCCCTAAACTTCTTCCTCTAAATCAATTGTTATATTACTTTTTATTAAACAAAACTAGCTAAATAGCCTAGGGCCCGCCAGTCAGTGCCATGCGTGACGGCCACCAGCGGGCTGCGGTGCGATAACCGTCGGCGGGTGACGATGCGGGCGCTTGGTGTCCGCCGGCGAGGAGCTGCGCAAGATGTTGGTACATTGTTGGCGTGCAGGGGGCCAATTGGACCCTATTGGGCCGTGCCACCTCCATCAAAAAAGACCTGCCACGTGCGTGTACAAACAAGTTGGAGTCGGACGAGCACCTTGGGTCTGTTTGGAATAATAGCCGTCGATTGCCCTGTTTGGATTGGAACCAACGTTTTCGCGACGCCAAATTTCCGGCAGCTTCCTTCAGTTTTCGCGCCCACCGTGGCGGCAGATTCCTTGGCCAATTTTTTGGCGAGCCCGACATTGACGGGGCGGACTGGGGCGTGATCCAAATCGGAGAAAACAAGGAAGAAAAAAGACATAACAGATCGATTGAGCGGACGCAATAGCCGCAGAGAGGCAAGGCAACCCTAAACAAGGAAGAAAAAAGACATAACAGATCGATTGAGCGGACGCAATAGCCGCAGAGAGGCAAGGCAACCCTAAGCAAGAAACCCTGGTCGATTGAGCGGCGCGCCGGAGATGGAGCTCATCGACAGCGGGTTGGCGCTGATGGAGATCTCCATGGGCGAGTCCAGTACAAAGACGAGGATGAAGAGCATTAGAGAGGCGGAGCAAACCAATCTGAGGCGCATCAGAGAGTCGCAGGAGAGGATCCGGAGGAGGCAGGAGCAACTTGTTCGCGATCCACAGCCACCTCTTCGCTACGAGTTTGAGAAGGCTCCTACAGATGAGCAGGAGGCTGAGGACTACCGTCAAATGTGGGAGACGTGTTTTCGCCACAATTTCGGTTCAATCGACGCGGAAAGTAAGAAATTCTTCACTTCATTTTATCTCCCCATGTGCCTTTGCGATTTCTTGAGATCGACGCGCGAAATCGACTTCGCTATGTGATTTCTTGAGATTGATGCAGAAACATAAGAAAAGCGATATTTTTATTGAATGTTTTAACTAGGATATGTCTGAGAACTAGATCAATTTGAGAAAAGAGTCTGAGAACTAGATTTATTTCACATCCCAATTATACTGTTAGAGTAGAGACCTTCATTGCGTTATATGGAATTGGATACCAACCAAACCCATATTGTTACCATGGATGGTCGAGCTAGTATTATATGTTTCAATTGGGATTTATTGTAGAACCAATTCTTCTGGAAAATTGACAACAAATCCAGTCCATAACATACATTGGGGGTAGAGAAACATCACTTGCGTTGCATATCGAACTAGGAGCAGGATACTGTAGGATTACATTAAAGACCCTTGATGCATTCATATTCTATTCCTATCTTATTACCCTGGTCTCTGGATGAGATTATGTTGAACTTCTTTCCTGGCAACAAGCTAGTATTGCTATCCACTATATCTATCACTTAATTTAAATATTTTTTCAATGTTTATTGACTTAGCTTCTTCCATGCAGCTTCTCTTGGCCCCATTTATACAACCGGAACCATCCCAGCAGATGCTCTTCCGGAGAGTTGCATGCAGATCTTCTCCATCAAAGTCACCGACCTAAATAATGATCTCAGCTTGCCACTGGAGGTTCATGGCTTTGTTGCTGCCAGGGATTCGGTAGATCGTAAACGCAACTATCTCTTCAGACGCACCAGGGATAACTGCCAAACCCTCACTCCAAAGGTGAGTTAGTGCGACTATCTATACACTGTAAACTCTTTGTGTGTGTGTGTGTTTTAATTAATAGTCTGCCAGTTAAGTGATTAATTATTATTGTGATGCTTGCATTGCAGGATCCATTCTTGCACTTAACAGGCCCCTCTCGGGCGGTTCTGTTAGTTGACCCTGTCGGGATTGAAGTTCAGCTAAAAGTAAAGGGCAAAAAGGAGTCTGAAGATGAAGTGTTAGCTTTCAAATGTTTTTATTTCCACGAAAGGTATCATTTAGAAGATGGGATCCGTTTTCGCATCCCCAGCAAGCGTTGCATGCTTGAGTTTGCTTTGGCAGTGCTGCCTATGTCAGTTGAGGCCATTGTGGGCATCCGAGTTGTTGATGGGTCATGGCCTGATCATTGTCCAGGGTTACTTGTTTGCAGTACCAACAGTGTAAAAGAAGGGAAAGTGGTGCTGCTTGATTTTCAAAATGGAGAGCTGCCTACCAAGTCAGATGGTGTGGTTGAGCTTGCAAGGCGTGTTGTTTCTGTTGATTACCCAGAGGGAAAACTTACTGTTTCTGTGGAGGCCTCGCGGGATCGGTTTTCTGCACGGGGTACAGTCGACTTTGGGATGAAAGTGCCAAGGGGAAGTACTACTCGCACATGTGATCTGGTTTTCTGCAAAATGCTAGTTACAGTTTCTTGGTCCCTTGTTTCTTGCTATCGGGTTTAAAATCCAACCTTATCTATTTGGCCATCCTTACCCGTGATTTGCCCAGCTAAGCCGTTGAACTATTTATGTATCTATATTGTCATGCCTTGGTACCTCCCGACCTGTTGTACTTGATTAATAATGTTTGCTCCGATGTGGTATTACTTAGGCTGCTCAGTCATCAAACAAGTAGCTGCCCTAGTGATGGAAGTGAATTGTTCTGGTATCTCTGAAACACGCTGCCTGCAAATCTGGATGCTAGTGAAGTGGGCAGACATCTATTTTCTCCTGTCTTGAGAGTACACTACCCACGCCCCGCACCCGCTGGCTCACGCACCCGCCGCGCTCGGACGCGGACGACGCGGCCACTACCGGTGCTAGCGACGTGCTCACCCCCTGGTTCTTCGCCAACGGACACACGCACTCACGCACACAACCTGGACACTAGTCGGACACGCCCCAGACCATGGCCAGACTATACACAAGTCGGACCATGGCCATACAATGGTCAGACTATGCCCGGTCTATGACTCACGCGACCACAGACTACACTCGACACACCCAGCTCGCGCACGCACACGCTCTGGACGTAGTCGCCGTGGCTTATTGCCCATCAATGATAAACCAATGAACAACAAACATAATGGCTACCAGGAGTGAAGGCAAGTAAATATCTTCACCAGTTGATCTCTGCTAGAGACTATTGCCATAGTAGAGGTGTTTATCATCGTGACTTGAAGCCTGAAAACCTGCCAGTGCGCTAACCGCATGTGGAACTCCAGCATATGTTGCTCTGCAAGTGCTCAGCAGGAAAGGCTACAACGGGCAAAGGCAGATATCTTCCTTTCCATGAAAGAAATCTTATTGAGTTGTATATAGAAAGATTGCTAAAGCTGAAGGCTACAAATGCCCTCGTTATTTTTCGGCTGAGCTGAAGGGGTGTTGACGCTGGAACGCGTCACACGTACACGTCGATGTGTACCCGCGGCGCCGAGGGAGATGCTCCGCAACTCACACCGCGGGAGGCCGACTTCCAGCACGATACGCAAGACAGCAAGTCGGCGCTTTTGGGACCAGACGCCCCGCTCGTCCGGGAGGGACCCCGTCAGGGCTCGCGGTGACGATTGGCTGCTCGAGGTCGGCCTTACCGCCCCTAGAGCCTCGTGGATTCGCAGCCTCCAATCTTGAAAGAACGACGAAGAACGAGAAGAAAGATACAAGGGGAGAGATAAAAGTAGATGAACACGAAAAAGTATTAGATGTGTTTGTTCGATTGGTGTTGTTCAATCGGCCGTCACCCCTTAGGTATATAAGAGGCGGCTGGACTTCCCGTGCAAGGAAAAGGCTTGGATTCACGTCCAAAACCCTAGTCAAATTCGGATTGGTTTTGTCCGAACTTTTCAAAACTGTTCGGTTTAAACTGGCTGCACCTTGTGGGTCTTTTTTGTGATGGTAAACGACCTCGGATGGAAACGAGCCCAAAAGCAATCTTGACCATTTCGACGAGACGAACAACTTTTATGTTGAATGTTTTTCGATTAGAGGTCATCTTGAGGGTCAAATCGGTCGCGCAAAACAGGCTATCCCTCGCGCTACCCATCAGACAGGGTGTCTGGTGGGGCGCGCCAGTTTTTGCCTCCTGACAGGGCTGTATTCCGATGGCTCTAACTTTTACATACGAACTCGGATTGGAACGTTTTTTATATCAAAATCGATCGTTTCGACGAGACGAAGACAATCCGTGTAGATAATATTTCTATTTGAGGTCATCTTGGGGGCTTAATCAGCCAAACTGTACTCTGAATATAAGATCTTAATACTTTGAGCATAGTTTCGGCCTTCGAGATGAAATCAGACTGCGATGACCCAAACTTCAAAGATGTTCATATTGACAATACGGAACTCTTTCATGAAGATCACTTCTCCATTTGAGGCCATCTTAAATAAGTTATTGACCGTGCCAAAATCTGGTGTCAACACATGCCCCCTTGTTTTTCGGCAAAGTTTGTGTGCCGAAAAATAACTTCCGCATAGCTTGTTCTAAGGACGATGTCAACACTCCATCGGCCATTTTGCATATGCTTAAGATGATAAGTTTATATCGGCCATTGCTTGTTTGAACCTCTTGATGCAAACTTGGGTGAAAACTTATCAGCTTCTATAACAATCCGGTGATAAGGTTCCATAGATCAAAACCATCCTCCGAACCATATTGTTCACCCTTTCGCTAGGATTTTGCAGATAATTAAGAATGAACTTCCTCCAATCCTTACTTCGCCTGCATAAAAGTTTTATTAATGGCCGAAGCGGTGGGCTTCAGTTCGGCCTTACCTATGTTGACAAAACCTAGCATCGGCTATTGATAGAAATACAATACACCATGGTTAACATAGTAGCCGGATGCTTGCTGTGCCAACTCTTTCAAATTGTCATGTCTAGACATATGAACAATTTTAAAGCAAATCAAGGTAAATTTTGCATCTAGACATTCCCCAAGATAAATTATAAGTGATTCGTCAAAATATTGATAACCCTTGAATATTTGTTGCACTACTAATAACGAATCACCGGAAGCATCAATATGTATAGAACCTATAGCAAGGCAAAGCTCCCATTCGAATAACAATGCATATTCGGCTTTGATCATTGTGCAAAAATATCTTAAGCGGCATGAGGCTTCACAAACTAGCTCCATATGGAGATAAATAAACAACACCAACACTTTGGCCATTGCTACAAACTGAACCATCAAAATATAATCTCCATAGTATTAGAGAGACAAGGCTAATATCACTTAACATGTACCTTGTCTCGGTCTCCAATTGAACTAAGGACGATGTTAGAATTCCACACCGGCCATGATAAGATAGTTTCTTAGGACGATAGTTAAGTATCGGCCATTACCATGAGGTCCACGTAGAATTCACCCACCAAACTATGTATAGCCGAAACAAACAAATAAAATAGCAATAAAATATTTTGGCCCCTTGTATTAGCAACAAAAATGTAACTAACCAAATGTATAGTGATTTGGTAATACCTTCTCATGATATAGAAAATTATGTTGCATCCATGGATCAAAATAAATCCATGGAGGATAATTGATCATACCTAGGGATGAATTCCATGGCATAGGCGTCAATGGCATAGTTGAAGAATATGGATAATGTGTAGACCGGAGATGTTGAAACCTTCGGCTTGGTCCTTCATAGTTTTCACTCTTTTCCTTCTTCACTTTTGCCGCACTTCTTGTAATGGAAGCTTGCACATAATTCTTATTTTGAGCACTTCCTTTGGAAACCCATGCCAGGTTCCTTTCTTCAAGTTCTTGTGCACTAAGTTTTTGTAATTCCTTCTTTTGCCAGTACAATAAGCCGAGTGAGCACCTCGACTGTGATTTTGTTTCAACCAATGGCAACTCTTTTTGGGCCTTGTGCACCCTCAACTTCTTTTCTTCAAATTTGGCACTCTGATTTTTATCAATTGATTGCTTCACTTCTTTGCCTTTTGTAGCCAATGTCAACACTTTAATTGGCTCTTTGTTATTTGAGATCAAATCTGAAGTGGCACACTTACGACCATCTCTTTTTACGCGGTAAACTTGCTTTACCATCTCTTTCTTCTTCCTTGAGCTCTGGACCGATTCCTTATGATTGAAACGGTCTTTGACGCGTGATTGTTCAAATGTTGATCTTCTTGGAGCTGCATAGTATTGGTGAGATGGTCTAGAATAAGATGGAGAATGTGCCCTTGTATCATACATGTCCCATGATGAATATGTATCTATATGAGCATAGGGAGGCATCCACGACATGGGCATTGGTGGCCCAAAATAAGGATATGAATATGTTGCATTAAAATTCTCACTTTGCCAATACCAATCCTCATATTTGCGTCTTGGGGGTGATCTTGGTTTCTTTGCATGATTTGGCTGATAAGCATTCTTCTCTTCACTCTTCTTTCGATATTTATCCAATAGTTCAGTGAAGGTGATTTTTGATCTCTTACACTTGCGCTTATTTCCGCCTTTGTTTTCTTTCGGTTTGCTTTCATTGATCATTGGATTTGCTTGCTGCCCCCCAGTCCTTGGCGTCTCCATTGTAGCTTCGATGGAATTTTCGCCCTCAAGATTATGTTCATTATGCTCTTTAACATCTTCTTTACTTGAAAGCTTGATCCCATCACCTGCAGTTTTTACCTTCTCTTTAAATGGATCGGCTTGAAGCAGCCGATGCAAAAACTTTCTGCCATCGAGACCAATCGGAATAGATTGGTCATCTCTTGGTGTCTCAACAAATTTCAATCGTCCTTTATCAATGGCCGATTGAACTATTTGACGAAACATGTGGCAGTCCTCAAAATTATGCTTGGACGAATCATGCAACTTACAATACATTCGTCCTTGGACAGATGGCTTGACATGGTGATCAAGAATTCTAATGTAATTATTTTTCAACAACAAATCAAAGATTTGATCACACATGTTTGAATCGAAGGTATACCTTTTGTTTTCTAGCCGATCTTGTTGTGAGAACGGCTTTGAAATTAAGCAAACGAATGGTTCAGATTTGACATCTTCCCATTCGGCTATGAATTCTCTTTCGCATACTTTTTCCGATGTCCTTAAATAAGAAACTAGTAGCATCGGTTTTCCCAAAAGATTTTAACCTTGGCTTTAAATTTCTGAAATCAAAGTAGTTAGAACATACACGTCTCAATTGAGACCATGCGTAAGCCAAGTACGAAATAAGCAAAGCTACCCAACTAGATATGAACTTTAGACAAAGCAATGGGGAAAGCTTTGGCTGTAACAATAAGTCATTATCGGTCTTTAAAAATGGCACAATGGGTTGACCGATATGTTCCATAACAATTTTAGTGTTAACAAGTAAATTACCCTTCCTCATTGGTCTTTCAAAATTACTTATGAGAATATTTCTTATAGATGCATCAATAATGAAGTTGTGACCAAATCTGAAAATAGGTAAATTACTCGCTATGCATACCTCTTCAAATATGTT